AGGGTTAGGGTTTCCATTGTCATGTCAGGCTGATTTTTGAAGGCGTACTACGGACACACTGTTTTAATAAACATTTTAATAACCTAACATCCTGAACTTCTCTGCATTGTATTCACCAATTTTGATCAATTCACCAGGAGGAGTTAGTTCAAATAGAAGCCCTGAAATGCCAGAAAATGGCATCACAGTTTGACATTCGATTCAACCTGGCCAACTTTGACACACCCTTCAACATACAGTCACAAATAGCACAACTTTTAATCAGCAACATTTTTTGATTGTACTGTCCAATTTTGAAGTAGATTTGATAAATTCCCTAGGAGGAGGAGTTCAAATACGTGTGCAAATCGCCAGAAATGACCTCTAAATCCAAAATGGCCGACTTCCTGTTGGGTTTGAGGTATGGGTCCAAGAGGCTTTTCTGCTTTTTTTTTATCAAAATACACATGCGTACCGGTTTTCGTACATGTTGGCCTTAGCCATTTGGCAGCGCCCGTGCATGGGTACAATTGCATACGTCAAGTTCCCTAACGTTTGAATTTTGTTGATTTGAATTACAATAGGGCTTTCGGGCTGGTCAGTGCTCGGACCCTAAAAACCCACCAACCCCCTTGTGGGTTTTTGAAAGTGATTAGACCTTCATGTCTACAACAAAAGTCATATTTTCAGTTCCTACACAATATGGAAAAGTATGGAATCTGATGTCATTTCCAGGTCTGGATAAGTATGGGAAAATATTTTTGTTTGCAGACTATTGCCCCTATACTGTTTCTAAAATCAGAATTTCAAAAAATATACAAGCACAGTGTTTCTCATGGTGTTTGGAGCCAACAGCCAGATCAGCCAAAGTTCAGAAAACTCATCTTTTCTGCATAAGGACACTTTTATGTATCTGTTTACCCTTGTTTCCATGGACACAGTGAATAAGCAAGACTGCACAGACTGGGTTTGGTGTAAATTTATTTGTATGAATTACATTACTGAGCTACAATCTTCTGGCAATTATTTGGCAACATAATAGCATACATAGTCAGAACGTAATGTACATATTAACAGTTGGATTTTAAAACCATTTCTTTACATAATAAACCCCCAGCTATTGTGCAATTTGAGTCTGGAAAAGTATGGAATTTTGAAATGGAAAATGTGTAGGAAGCCTGTATATTACTAATTAGTGTAACTGTATTATGAAACAGTAAACGAAAAAGAAATACATAGAGCATGTATTGCATTTCACTTTTGTTTTCATTTAGGCCAACATAAGTTAATTAGGAAATTTAAATATTATTTTCCAGGCTTTTGTCAAAGACAAAGTTAGCAAACTTGTTCTCCAAGCGATGTACTCTAGTCACTTAATATTGCACTTAAAGTTAGGGGACTCACAAGAGACAAAGGAGTGTTTAGACCCTTGCATACGTACAAGTTTGACATACAAATTATAATGCCTTTTAATATGAATGAAAAGTGAAAACAAACTTGATGAAAAATTAACATCCTGTTCATCAGATCATGATCATTATGGCCGCTGATAGACTTTTTTCACAGCCGCCACTTTGACATGAAATACAAGGGTAAACACACGTACTTCTACAGTTCAGTAGTTGTTGTAAAACTCTCTTTATACACGTCACAGTCTGTTATTCTCTGTTCTAACACCTGACAGTTGAGCATCACCTGTTGCAGGCTGTGATATTCTCGAGTCTAGTCTAATAACTCACAATAACTGTCACCTCCTCTTATATTAAGATCTACTTTTTGTCCCCATGGATTTTTTAGTACTCTGCACTGCAGTTCCCTACAAAGTTAACAAATACAGTTATGAGTTGATTTGGTGGTCATTTTTTAAGTGTGTGTCAGTCACCCAGTTCTCCTCTGTGCAGGTTTTCCTCAGTGATCTGGAGTGGGGGCGTCAGCAGCAGCAGAGTCTCTGGAAGAGGCTGCACTTCCGTAGGGTGGAGAAGGGAGTCCGGCAGACTCTAAAGATGCTGGAGAAGGACACTGTACCTCCACCTACAAAATGCAGCAAGTAACCCATAAAAAAGTGGGGCGCCCGGTTAGCTCAGTCAGTAGAGCTGGTGACCCATGTACGGAGTTCTTGCAGCGGCCCAGGGTTCGAATACTGACCTGTGGCCCTTTGAACTGCGTGTCGATCCCCTCTCTCTCGTGACCCCCTTTCCTGCTCTTCTCCAGCTTCCTTATCAAATAAAGGCATGGAAAAAGCTTGAAAAAGTAATATATGTAAAAAAAAAAGAATACTGAATACTACTATCAATGCATGGCGGGTTTTTGTAAAAAACTGTAAATGTAATACGAAAACAACTTATTAAAATGCTTGTGTTTGCTGAATGGATTATTGGATTCGATCTTGGGCTATGCCACTTAGCTCATATTTGTCCAGGTCTCTGTATAAATATGAAGAAGTATGCATAGAGCTATGGCTGCACACAGACGGATACAAGTGGGGGTGGCACCTCTGTGGTTTGCAGCAGACCAGTTGAGAAACTAGAGTGAAGATAAATCCACTTTTTGATTGTTTTAAAAATGAACTCTAGTTTTTCTCTTGCTGGTACAGCTCCATATCAGAGCTCCAGCTCTGCCCCCAGCTCCCTGGACTCAAGCAGCTGTCTGTGGTCCAGCAGCAGCTCTGTCTCTCTGGCCTTCCCCATACAACACTGCAAAAGCCCCATGATATATGAAAATTATTACTCAAAGTTGAATACTTGCTGTATTGCATTGACTTTGTACATAATCTCATTGCATGAAAAATTGGCTGTGCTTTTTATATGAACAGGCCATTACACCGGTGAGTCTCCATGGGTAATAAAACGCTAGTATAATTTTTCTGCGCTGGCAGAGGTGTTCCAGATGTTGCTGTGTTATGAGTGTTCAGCTGGCACTTCTAATGTGGATTAACACCTTGGACCCTCACACAAACTGAGCCAATAAAAGAAAGTGCAGTAAAACAAACAACCATCTGCTGGATGCCACACGACGTTTGTCTGCTGGTATCACTTCATATAGAAAAAGGAATATTAAACCAAATGTAATGCAATTGTCCTCTTAATTCCTTATTGGAATATTACAATAATATTGTTCAGGGCTTGAAATGATAAATAAATAGTTAATAACGTTACGGGGAAATCTGAAAATACTACCAGCATGCTTTGGGTGCTTTACTCTCAACACTCAAATGAAGCAGCTGACTATTAAAGGGGTAAAAAGCACTTTCTAACATGCTGGATTAAAGTTACAACCGTTATTAATAGTGAAACCAGTGGTCATTAAGTGAACAGCAGTCAGTGTCCTGTTGGTCACACTCCAACAAGCACTTTTAGCTGACATGTAGCTAGACTTTACAGAAAAAAGACACCACAATACACTGCTAGTTTGTCATGAGTGAAGCTAGAGAGGGATTGTTTTTGTGTGGTAAATGGGCTCACAGGCTGAGTAGTACTTGTGACTCAGACATGTTAAGTCAGATGTGTTTCCCATTAATTCAGTAGTTTCCTTATTACCTCCGTCAAGGTAATGGTGCTGTTTGTTTGTTTGTTTGTTTGTTTGTTTGTTTGTCTGACAGCAGGATTCTGGAAAAACTACTGGACAGATTTTCATGAAACTTGGTGGTAGGGAGAAGCATGGGCCAAAGAAGAAGCCATTTAATTACAGGACGGATACGCAAATTATTTTTCTCCTTCATTAACATTGCAAGATAGGTCAGTTGTAATACAGACATATATAGTGTTTGCCCTGCAGATTTGCATATCATATAAGACTGTTGGCACTGGAGGAGGTCTGTGCTCTCTGAGTGGCCAGAGGAAGCAGTGTGCACAGGTAATGATTTATTTTGTGTGAAATGATTGTTAGGGAGAGTCCTGTTAAGCAGTGATAAGACAACACAGACAGCATACTCAGCCACTGCTATGTACAGATCTTACATAACTTTTGGGAAGTGAAATTAAAACCTTAGTCTGGTGCATAAGGGCTTAAGTTAAACAAGTGAGGTAGACATTTTAATTGTAGAAAACAGCACAGTTATGGGATCAATACTCAGTATTGACAGTTTAACTGAAATGGTGTTATAATAATAAATGTCTGATGGGTGCATTCTTAATGTCTTCCAGAGTTTTGTCTGCCATGTCATTCGGAGACACACAGCTCCACATCTATGCAAAGCCATATTGATAACATTATGTTATGTTAAATGTACTATGACTGTACATTGTTGTTTTTCCAAGCACTCGTTTATTTCAGCAGATGATATATATTTGCTGTCATTGCATTAAAGTGTAGTATGTCATTGTTGTTCAACAGATTAGCCTTTCTCTGATACCTTTGAGCTGCCTTATTTAACACCAACAGTGATGCTGCAGTTTGTTTGACCTTGTTAATGTGTGTTGCGTGTTCAATTTCAGTTTTTGGTACTGATTGAAATGTGTCACCAAGTATCAATCGATATAGTGACTTTCTGAGCTGAAACAAAAATAGACCTTTTCTCTGTGTATGACTCTGCAAAGGTACCCAGAAGTCTGCTTTCTTCAACAAATAACTTTATTAAAGAATATTTCAGTTAAATATTCTTTAACATGTTAAATAATCTAACATAAACATAGTCAACCACTTTTAGTTGACAATACTGAGAGCTGCTTCTTCTCTCTTTTTTGCCACAGAATTGTAAATTGCATATATCGGTCGGGCTCTAATTTTAAGCTCCTGTGTTTGCATGACAAACAAACTGTTGCAAACTGTGCAAATTGTTTAACTTGAACATAAAGACCAAGGAATCACTCACAAATCTGCTCTTCTATTATTCTAAATAAATATGTTTCTCTTCTGGCATGTCTGACTTATATGGCAACCCTCCAGGTTCTGGTGTGGTCATCTATAGTGCTTTGATGTACCTCTATCTGTTGGTGAGCATGGTGCTCATGGAAAAAAAACAACAAAGATCAAATATTTGGCTTTCTCATCCGCTCAGAGAATCTTCCTCTGTTTGCTGTTGCAAAACCACAACCTGCGTCTGAGCTGAAACCTGCTTGATTCAACTCTACAGGTCGTCTAAACCCATGCTGAACTTCAACAAACTAGTGTGTGTTATGATACTTGTGGATGAATAATTTCCATCAGGGGTTGTGAGAGCCAAAGAAGATGATAACATGACAGACGTCAACTGTACAGGGTTATAATTGTCCCAAAAATATGTCAATTGCTCATTCATTTGTTCATGTCTACTGTTATTATCTAACTTTTGGATTGATTGTGTTTTATAGTATGTGTCATCCTTCCTGTCATCTATTTATCGACATTCTTCCTGTTCATGTAAAATGTCAGCTGCTAAAACATGCAAGAAATGAAAGACAGAGAAATTAGAATTAGCTGGTAAGAATATCATATAAAAGATAATATATAACAGAAAATATAAATGCACATTTGTGTAAAACACACACGTTAGTAACTATTTTATCCTTCAATTAAGCTGCTAAACAGACTTTACAAGAGACACAACAAGCAAGAACCAGTCTGCAGCTTGTACGTCACGCAGATCATTTTGTAAGCTAATCAAGGCATGAAGAGGTTTCCAACAGCTTGGAGTTATTCAGCAGAGTTGTTCAGCAAAGCAGACAGCATGCAACAGCAACACAAAGAACAACACAAAACGCCAACAGTCGCTGAGGTAACAACCTGTAAAGATGTTACAAAGCAGTCGACATATGTTCAGCTCCTCTTACAACTGACTGCCTGTGACTGACAGATGCAGCATAACATGTTTACCCCTTTCACTAATCCAGTGCGGATCTCCGGACCCTTTGTATCCAAGGCAATGGCAACCGGACGATAATACAAGGGGTCAGGGGTTACCGTCTCCACTGCCTCTCTGATGTTTTTGATGGTTTCGCAGTGGTACTGACAGACACAAGGAGGGAGAAAGACAGATAATCAATACATGACTGAAGAAAAGACCATACACGTGTGTATAAGTACTGTAATTGGGACACAGAGAAACACGTGTGCTACCGGTATACATACTTCATGTGAGCCATGTGAGAAATTTAGACGAGCAATATTCATTCCTGCCTTGACCATCTCTTGAAGTTTGGGGACTGATCGGGATGCAGGACCTGAAAGGACCAGAAGAGAAAGACATTTGACATTAAAATGATTCGATTGACAGAAACAACTCTGATAAGCACTCAATATCTCTTACTTGCAATAGTGTATATATTTTTAATTATAGTCTTTATATTTTATATATATTATATATAATATTCAGTATTTAGTACTTAGTATTCTTTATTGTGATTTTTACACTGTACTTTGTGCACTAAATTTTCCCCTATGCTGCTGTGTCGAACTCGAGTTTTTAATGATTTTCAATAAAAATAAACTGATTCAAGCTACTCAAATGTGTCAGTTTACTGCTTTTCTGTGTTTTTTGTCATAGTAAACTTTGGGTTTTGGAGCAATTTCAATATATCAACTTGTGTTATGGAAATTATTTTCACTACTTCCTTATATTTTCCTGATAAGCTGCAGTCGCACATTGAAATGAACCATGTTGGTTTAATTTACTGCTAGTCAAACATTTGGACACAAGCCCTTCAGTGAGCAGTGAAGAACTATCTGCAATACAGCGATATCCAGAGACTCAGAGCTCTGCAAGAACTAAGAAGCAATTTGTATACTGTATTTCCTTCTAATTAATTCCTATTTTTCTGGGCAGAAGAAGAGCAGAGAGAGCTCCACAGTGCTACAGCCAAGAATCTAATCCTGCCAACACACTGAGGGCCACCCAGCACCCAGGAGCTGACTGCCAGCAATGACATACAACAGTTGCCAGAAAACAAACTTAAAACTGAGACTCTCTGTCTGCGGCTGGTTGTCACACTCACCAATGGTGCAGATTATACTGGTGTTGCGTGCTGTGATTGGCTCCTGGTCGATGTCCAGCAGACAGAGATGCTCCAGGAAGGTGTCAGCCATGCTGGCATCCAGCTGCTGGCGTTGGATGAAAGAGTCCGGCAGTGTCATCGCCTCTGAGTAGCGCCTGATGCGAGCTATAGTGACAGAGAAATATTATCAGCGGGGTGAAGCCAGTCATTAAAAACTGTACTGCCAACTCCACCTGTGAATACAAATGAACTAAACACCTCATGAGGAAAAAAGTGTGTAATTTCTGTGTTAATGATGAACCAGAATAACACTGCTTCTAGTAAGTGTTAAAGGTGAAGAATGGAGATAAAAATGGCAGCTTACCACCACAGATTGTGAATGTACAGTCACAGCAGAGAAAGCATACTTAATATGTGAATACTGACCTGATATTAACCTCAGGGAGGGGTTATGAAGATTTACATACGAGTCGGTAGTATGAAAACAAAACACTGCAGTTCAGCTGATATTATTTGACAAGCAACAAAAGGAGGCAAGAAGGCTGATAATAACCCCAAATAGTGGAGATAAAAGGGCTGTCGGGTGACATTTGAAGCACTAGGGACTCCGCACCAAACAATCCTTTGATATAGAAAAGACTGTATTTCAAACAACTGAAAGGAAGGAAATGCTTGTTTCACATGCAGTTTAATAAAAATGATCTCCCTCTCTACTGAAGGTAAACTGAGATGTGTCGCATTCTCAGAAGAGATACTGAAACTGAAAGGAGACTGCTTTGATTGCATTTTATTGTTGTCCAGTAGAGCTGTGACGGTTAGTCAATTAATTGATTAGTTAATCGAAAGAAAATTGGCTGCCAACTGCAACTTTGGTTGCAGCCCTATTGTCCAGCCTGTCAGTATAGGAGCTCAATGCTCTTCTCCATCTTGAAAACCACAAGCAAATGACAAATGAAAGGATGAGTGTGTGAAAAGCAACAATTGTAATATGATAAGTAAGTAATGCTTGTTAAACCTTCATTAATTGAGTTTTAGCTCAGCAATTTGTATCACAACATGGACATTTGCGTATGAAGCTATAATGGCTAATGTGTTAGCAAACAGTCACCTATTACACATCCAGCACACACTGAGCAACATTAGCATGTGTCTGGAGTCGTGTTTCCGACCACCTGATAAAGTCCAGTATTCACTCCCCTTCAGCTAACTGCTGAGAGACATATATATATATATATAATTATATATAATTAAGTTATCTGATAGTTTAGAATATTGTTTGTCTACTAATAAGTCTACAATCTGAGAAAATACAATCAAACAAGCAAATTTTAACTCACCTTTCCCCTCTTGAAATCTTAAACCTGTACTCAAACAGGGATGATACTAGTACATACTGCCTATCAACACCCTATCCCAGTGACTCCAACTGTCACTACTGCCTGCAAAACCTGAGAGTAAAAGCCAGTGAATGGAGCCCATGTCTCCCGTGCAAAGCATTGTAGTCTACCTGGCTGAAGGCTTTGAGACAGTACAATGGCATCCATTTTAAAAGATGTCACAGTCAGTCAAGCCTGCAATTTCTTCCACCACAGGGGAGGAGAGAGTAAAGACCAGGGAGGAGGAGGACGAGAGGAGGACCTGACAGACAAGGTCGCTGCTAACGGCACAAGAGGAGTGAGGAGGTAAGGAAGAAGGATGGAGTGAGGAGGGTGAGGAAGACTGGAGGAAGATCTGTACATCTATAATGGGAAAAATTGAAAACTGGATTATTTGTTAATTTGTTATTTTTGCCTCTCACAGTGTTGTGTATTAATTGTGTGCTATAATTTAAAACCTGCTGTGGTGAACAGACATGCAGAGAGTCAGCAGAGGAAACTCCCTGATCAAAATTTACTAGAGGTTTTGCCAGAAACTGTGAACATGCACCCCGATCCTCTATCCTGTGGATTCGGTAGCTGTCAGTGTTTTCTCTCTCTTTCTCTTCGTGTCTTTTTCTCCCTCTCTCCCCACCTCCCTGTGACCCACTTCTGCCGTGCTGCTGCACACATCATTACGTGTCCCACTGAGATCCTCCTCTGACACTTCCCAGAGTGTACACATGGAAACACACACACACCCACACACACACACGCACGCACGCACACACAC